GTGAGAGCCCGTGACTTACTCGTTAAATTCGCTTCGGCGATTGGCGAAGGTCGTCGGCCTAGTGGAGGGGATTTCAATTTTCATTGGGGTCTCGGCGTTTGCTCGCGCCTTGTCAATTGTTCATACATGGTCCCAAAGTGAGGAATGAGCTGCTTACTACACTGGTGTGTTAGCTAAGCAAGTCCTTCCTCAGGCGACCTAGTTGAATATCACGACACGAATAAAGGTTAAAGAATAAAGAAAATTCTTAGAAATTTTCCGAGCTAAAATTCCTTATACCAATTTCAATTTATTCCACAAATTCTCATAAAAACTCTCACATTGACATCCGGTGACTGCTTCTATGTGGACAGCATACTGACCCTGACAACCTTGTTAGTGACGTGAGGTGTCGGTCGGGTGGCTCTTGTTAAGTTACCCACCCCAGAGTAGCCGACTTGTCGGGTTACTGGATCTGGTGGAGGGAGGGGACTTTGTGTAATGTCCCTCGCCCCTTTTGTCAATACAGACTAGGGTCCACATGTGGCTGGAACAACAGGGCAGGTGTACCCATCAGACCAGGAAACACAGACAACAACATGGCGGAAGCATATATATATATATAACCCTGGGTTTGTTTGGAGGTTAGAACCCCAGAGCACGATAAAGGCTGCTACCCGAGTTAAGTACAGTTAACAATTCACATCATTGCCTCTGCAGGAAAATCTAATGAATTCTATATGATACAAAACTAAGGGAGTTAATTTACTTTTACTGAACAGTGCGAGATTTTGTTACCATGGAGTGACGAGACTGCACTTGACTACTGATGAGGGATGACAGGTCATCCTCATCACCTGACTCGGCACTTGAGTCATGAGTCAGCACCGCTGCGTCAGGAATTAGACTCGCTGAAGGCAGTTCTAATTCCTCTCTAGCATGATACTGTTTTAGCTTACTGATATGGATTGTCCTTTCAACCTGGTCCTGAAATACCCCCCTTCAAGACCGACCCCACTCTCTTAATTACTCGATACGCCACCGCCATCTTGGAGCTAGTTTCCTACTCTGATTGGTGGGTGCAGCCTCATTCACTCTCAACACGAGGCTACCTTCTTTCAACTCCAGGGGACGCACTTTCTTGTCATAAAAGTGAGCATAACGATTCCGTGCTTTCTTGGAAGAGGGGAAATTGCATGACTGACCAGTAAACAAATGAAGGGGTTGGGTGTTAATTGATTGATGGATGGCAGTATTCAAAGCTAATTGAACATAGGATAGGTGTTCATCCCACGAGTTTGTATCATGTTCAGCAAAGATTGCAAGCATATCCTTAACTGAACGATTAGTATGTTCCGTCATCCCGTTTGCTTGTGGGTGGTAGGCTGTTGTAAAAGCCGAAGTTGTCTCTCAAATCCTACAAACTTCTCCAAAAATATTCCCATTGAATTCCTGACCTCGGTCAGAGACTAACCCTTTACGAGGCCCGAATACAGTAACGAACCTAAACAAGAACGCGTCTGCAACCGTACAAGAATCCTTCTGAGGTAAAGAAACTAAAGTAGTGTATCTGGACAAATGGTCCACAAGTACTAACACGTACCTATTGCCCGAATGACTGTGATGTAGGTCAATCAAATTGGCCCCCACACGATCTAAGGGTTCACGAATTTCAGAAAATTCTTGAAGTGGGGCTTGTACCTTAAGTGTACCTTTTTACCTCTAGCAATTAGAGCAAAACTTTACATATTGGATTACCTCAAAAACGCAACCCTGGGAAATAAAAGAGAGACTTGGATTTTAAGTGAGTTTTAAAGATACCCGGATGCTCTGCAACTTTAGATGCATGCGCCAGCTTTAACGCCGATGACCGTAACGCGTTCGGAATAACTAGCTGGAATACTCCCCTATCTTTTTGACTATTCACGTAGTAAAGAATGCCCTGTTTCATCTCGAAATCAAGTATGGGTAATTTACGGTTCTTTGAAGGGTATTTTCCCCCTTCCAAATAATCAATAATCTCTTTCCACCTAGGCTCGGTCATCTGGTATTCTCTCATTTTCTGAAGGAATATTTTCAATTTTCTGCTTTACATTAATCGTAGCGATGTTCTCCTTAACGTATCTGGCACAACATGTGCTGGACCAGGCATATACAATATCTAGACTGAGTGGGCCGAAAGTTCATAAGACCAGCGTGACGTTCGTGGGCATTTAGTGTGCTTTTTAAATATGTGTGTCAAGGTACGATGGTCCGTGTAAATTACAAAGTGGCGCGGAAATAAATATTGTTCGAAATATCTTACCGACTCTACTACTGCCAGGGCCTCCCGATCCGTTGCCGAATACCGAACTTCAGGTCCCTTGACCTTTCTACTGAAATAGTCCACCAGATGAGGGAAATTATCCGCATCTCGCTTAATTAAACACCTGCGAATAGCTATACCACTGGTGTCAGTGTGTACCTCCCACTCTCTATCGAGATCAGGTATGGCCAGTACCGGGGTCGTAATTAGTTGGCTCTTCATTTTACGATAGGCTTCGTCATGTTCCGATTTCCAAATGAACTTTGCCTTTTTCTTTGTCAGACCGGTCAAGAGTGCTGAAATGCCAGCGAAACCTTCAATGTGACAACGAAAATATCCGGCCGCCCGCAAAAACCTGCACACGTTCTTTGCTGTCCTTGGAGTAGGCATGTCAGCAACGGGGCGGGAAGAGTCTGGGTCAGATCGAATACTGTCTGGGCTCACCTGGAACCCCAGAAATTTGAATTTCTTCCAGGGTGTACTTCTGCACATTAAGCTTGAACCCCGCCCGATCCAACAAATTCAAAGTTTCAGTTAAGCCTTAAGAGGAATCCTCAAACGTCATGGAATATATCACAACAACATCCAGGTATGCTAACGAATGCCTTCCCAAAACCGGACAGAGTATAAAGTTAATAGCCCTCTGAAATGATGAAGGAGCTGTCTTTAAGCCAAAAGACATCCGACGGAATTGGTAAGTATGCCTGCCATCAGAGAATGCTGTTTTTTCCCTATCCTGTACCGCCACGGGGTCGCCCAATACGCCGATTTCGCGTCCAGAGTGGAAAAATACTTGGCAGCTCCAAACTGATCTATTATCTCCTGAATTCGGGGTAAAGGATATACATCACCCTTAATTATTTCGTTCACCTTCCGGTAGTCTTCACAAAAGCGATAACTACCATCAGGTTTGCGAACTAACACAACAGGAGAGAGAGCTACGGTGAAGTACTGAGCTCTATCACGTCCTGCCTCAACCTTTTCTGCCACTCATTCCTGATAACATTCTTTGCCTGGTCTGGCAATATCCATTGTCTGATGTACACTTTAGGATGATCACCTGTAGGAATAGTGTGTTCAGTCCTATCCAGGAGACCAATCTGATCATCATCAGTGACAAACAGTCTAGGAAATCTACGTAAGACCCCTAAACCGCTTCCTGTCTGCCTGAGAGACATGCTGTAAGTCAAGTGCTGAAATTAATTTATCTACGTCATGATTTTTAGTGTGTAAACTCGCCTCGTTCGTATTATTTGAATGTTTACCATCTTCCGTTACCTTCAACGCACTACATTGTGCCGTGATGGCAGGTATCTTCCCCTTGTTGTCATGCTGATAAATTTCATATCATATATATATATATATATTCCCATACGCATAACCAGGTTTGTATTCCCCAATAACATTTAATCTCAGTATATAGGCAAGACAACAGCGTCTCTTTCTAGGCGATTAACAATGCACAAACAACAGGGCTCCATTAAGGAACATATAATCTCTTCTCACAACCAGACCATCTTCAGAGAAATCTTAACAAGCTACACAGAAATCATCAATGGATACAGCACTAGCAGGAGACTCGACATCAGCGAGGTACTACACATCAAAAAGTAAACACCAACATTCAACAGCCAATAAATACATAACTATATTATACCCACTTCAAGACCCCGAACCAACATAGAAGCAGCAAGAAAAAATATAAGCCAATAGGCCTTCTGTAGTTACTTTCATTCTTATGTTTTCATATCCAATATATTCACATTGATTCGTGTTCTGTAACCTCACCCAAAACATTTGGGCCATATCACCTCACCCGTAATGAATAAAAGCATGTTATATGATATATGTGTCAACCAATCTTTGAAAATGTAAGAAACCCTTATGAAACGCTTTTAGGCATCAGACCAAAAATAAAAATGTAAAAATTTAATTTTGGAGAGTTAATTTTTCAATTACCCTCGACAATGAAGAAAAACGTAAGACATATTGAGAAGATTCGTGCTAGAATTATTAATCTTACCCTAGAGTCTCTCTAGACTCTAGATCGAGTAAGGATGATAAAAGGCTGTGCGAAGAAAAGGACTCTGTGCGAGTACCTAAAGAAATTAAAGGTCTCCCTATCCTAGAGGTGTATAATAATATGGGTTATGTAAGTGATGACTTAGATGTTAAAGAGTACGTAGAGAGAAGTCAATCGGATGCTTCTGCTAAAAGTCTCCGTGGTGTAGTGGTAAGACACTCGCCTGGCGTTCCGCGAGCGCTATGTCATGGGTTCGTATCCTGGCCGGGGAGGATTTACTGGGCGCAATTCCTTAACTGTAGCCTCTGTTTAACGCAACAGTAAAATGTGTACTTGGATGAAAAAACGATTCTTCGCGGCAGGGGATCGTATTCCAGGGACCATAGGATTAAGGACTTGCCCGAAACGCTACGCGTACTAGTGGCTGTACAAGAATGTAACAACTCTTGTATATATCTCAAAAAAAAAAAAAAAAAGATAAATTACTTTGGCAGACCAGTAACAAATTTCCCCTATTCAATGACTTAGCTCAGACATGACAGACCAGGAAGAGTTTGCTCTAACTTGGACCCGACACGGAATATTAGTGTTCAAACCCCTGGGGAGGATGATGTAATAATTGCATCATCAATTATGATGATACAGTGGCAGGGTACAGCTAGTAACAAATAATTATAATCATGAACTGCCTACCCTGCCAGAGAAGGTGGCGGAGGGTTGTGAGGGCAGGTTCTGCAGGAGCGCCCCCCAGGCGTATAGGATGGTGGCGTTGAGCGCCACGGGACGGCCTCCCGTCACCCACTGCCACGCCCTCTGCAGCAGCCACAGGGTCACGCCCCATATCACCACCGTCACCAGCAGCATCACCCACAGCTTCCCTGCAGCAAGGAAGGTGACAATTTTTGTTTATTTTTAATATGATTATTAAATAAATTTATGAGCTTGAAAATAAACATTATACATCAGTTGAAATGTTCTTCCCATGTAGCTGACATTACATTCAGGTGGCTACCACATCACTCTGACCAAATCACTTGGTCGGAGTGTAAGGTTCGATGCGAGAAAAAAGTGTTGTAATTTAATGCATTGATCTGAGACGTATATATGATTTTATTATAGCTTTAATAATTTATGTTAATTGAGTTCTTTTGAAATTTTGCTCTATTTGTTTTACATATATAAACTAACTCTTTTGCCACTAGAAGGGTGATAAGGGCCGCATCTTCAATACACACGACCCTTATCACTGTAACCATCTTTATTACTCACGACCTTCCTCACAGTAACCATCTTTACTACTCACGACCTTCCTCACTGTAACCATCTTTACTACTCACGACCTTCCTCACAGTAACCATCTTTACTACTCACGACCTTCCTCACTGTAACCATCTTTACTACTCACGACCTTCCTCACAGTAACCATCTTTACTACTCACGACCTTCCTCACTGTAACCATCTTTACTACTCACGACCTTCCTTATCTTTACTACTGTTACAGCCTGCTTGACCCAGTAACCGGGTTCATTCTGCTTATGGGGCTTTAGTGCCTCTTGTTCTTCTATGATCCCACCCCAAGTCAATGGTACGTTGTCAAGAATTGACGGTAGCAAGTAATTGTGTAAGGAATAATGTGGTAAACTAAACTAAATAACACCTACACTGATATATTATCTGCTTCATTTAACTACATATATGTACACAGTGTCTCTTTCGCACAGGATACTTAAGATGTCTCTGAAGCGTTCTTCAAATTCCCGGTGAGTCCACTATTTTCAAATATACGTCATCCACGTCCAATGGTCATCACCGGTGAGTTCACATTACTCACCATGGGCCAGTCCCCACATGGTATCGTCACCATGTCAAAATACCCGAACATCTGCTCTCTAGAAACACACTGGCAGACAGATTCAGCAACACGCTGACAGAGGTCACAAATAACACTTCCAGGGGTCACCACTAACACCCTGACAGAAATCTGCCTACACATTAGCAGCCCTTCTCAGCAGACAGACAGAACTGTCGTCTTGTAACTCCTCTTGGTAATTTCCCAGGTACGTTGGTCCACACAACACTGCACAAATACAACATCGAACACACTGTCTACTACTGAAGGCGGCCACATGTCCTCACAGGGACAAATCAAGAGTTCTAGACTGCCCAAGATGAACTGCCTTGGGCTGTCTAGAACTGACAACCACATCACCCCTGTGGATATAATAATCATTAACCAGACAGAACATATACAAGGAGAACATAGGATGGCAGCCTTTCACCGGGGAACTGTAAATATAATCGGATGGACAATCTGGATGGCGTTGATATTGTTACTTCACTCACCACAGATCTTCATCTTCGACATCTTCTCCTAACAGAGGTATGAACAGGAGCCTTTCACAGATGCCGTTGAACTTGTCACACCTCCTCCAACAGATGGCTTTGTCTTCATCTAGCATTATAATGAATTGGAGTTGATGTGTTGGTCCATAGATTGCGTCGATATCGCCAGTATTCAATCCAGCAACGATGTTGTTATTGTCACAACTACTCACGACCTTCGTCACTGTAACTATCTTTACTACCCCCGACCTTCATCACTGTCACTATCTTAACTACTAACGACCATCATCACTGTAACTATCTTTACTACTAACGACCTTCATCCATGTCACCATCTTTACAACTAACTACTTTCATCACTGTCACCATCATTACTATTAAAGACTTTATACCACCTTCCCTACCCTTCACCACTTTCTATACCATTCACCACCTTCCCTACCCTTCACCACTTTTCCTTCCCTTCACCACCTTCCCTACCCTTCACCACTTTTCCTTCCCTTCACCACCTTCCCAACCCTCATCACCTTTCCCTCCCTTCCCCACCTTCCCTATGCATCACCACCTTCCCTACTCTTCACCACTTTCCCTCCCCCGTCACCACCTTCAATAAGCTTCACCAACTTCCCTAATCTTCACCACCTTCCCTACTCTTCACCACCTTTTCATCCTTTCACCAACTTCCCTACCCTTCACCACCTTCCCTCTCCTTCAGCACCTTACCTATTCTTCACCACCTTACCTACCCTTCACCACCTTCTCTACCCTTCACCGCCTTCCCTACCCTTCACCAACGGGGTGAGAATAGCTTGAGCTACCTCATCCCTTTGTGTGTATTTTACCTCAATAAACTTATTTCAATTTCAATTTCAATTTCAATTTCAATGTACATTTAAACATATTTATTACCAATATGTTAGAGAATTGAATGTGGTTCTCTAAAATTATCAGTATTCCATACAATAATTAACTACGGATAATATAGCTCCCAATAATCCAAAACCGAGAGTTATTAACTGAAATTATTATCAAGTAGCAGTTTTATCTGTTACGTACGAATGCTATGGAGGAAATAAAATTTCTCTCCATTTCTCGATTAATACCATTTAACGAGAATATGATATTATTTAATTCCCTATAATTGCAACCCGGTCCTCATTAACGCATTACATCAGTAATTACACGGAAAAGAATTATCCGTGATTAGTAATTTCTGTTGTGAATGCGAGAGACGAGTTGAGGAAGGGAGGTGGAGAGACGCCATTCGCCTTTGGCTACCACGTCATGAGGACGTAATCATTCGCCATACTGCTTATCAAGCGATGCCAACAATCACATCGTGCGTCCCGGGAGAGTCGATTTCCATCAATACTACGTTAGGCCCTTGCATTTAATTGGCCTAGGAGTGAGCAATTGCTCCAGCAACAATCTGGAATTGCTTCGGTGGACAACCAGCAGGTTAAGTGCCCTAATATTTGTTATATCATGAGATCTCTAGGTATATCATTTTACTGTGCACTGTCCATCGTTATGCTACGCGACCTCCCCAAACAATAAGTACGTCCATAAGGAATTAAATTTATTCCTTTTATTGCATAGTGAGGATATTATATAGTAGGTGTAACCAATTAGTATTTTCAGTTGAAATTTCAGCTTGTGTTGTAAGCGGTCGTGGTCCTCATGTTCCCACGCCATGCTTGAACTCACGTGTTGCCGCAAGTAGCAGACGACGCCATTGCACCTCTACCTCTCCGTTCACTATTACAGCTAAGCAGCTGAAATCTTTTCTATTATTTCTTTAATTGAGAAAATTATAGATCAGTCGAAGAGATTTAGTTTATTTGATTTGAGATATCTGACTTAATATGTTAGCCTCATAAAAGTCAAATGGGAATAATTGCTTGATTAATTAACATATAATCTTTTTACTATTAATCAATTCATCTAATGTTTCTTAATAGTATTTAGTAGAATTACTAATTTTTATTCGAGGAAGAACCAGCCTCGATGAAGCGTACTGGGAGTAGATTACTTCTAATATTAACCCCCATTTTGTGAAGGACGGAAAGTTTATTCTCGAACATTAATATTATACAGCCCATTAACGTTTAAAGAATAATCTTTAATAGTTTCTTATCCATAGGCACTGGTATTTCAGTCCTTATCATTTAACTTTATCTGTTTCCCTTTTCAGTCAAAATAGGGTGGTCCTTCGATTAATTTAAATTAATCTATTAATTAAATATCAATCAATTAATAGAGAGTAAGCTTTCTTCCCAACACCTTCCCTACCATTCACCACCTTCCCTATTATTCACCACTTTCCCTACCCTTCACCACCTTCCCTACCCTTCACCAACTTCCCAACTCTTCACCACCTTCCCTACTCTTCACGACCTTCCCTACTCTTCACTACCTTCCCTACCCTTCACCAACTTCCAAACCCTCCACCACCTTCCCTACCCTTCACCACCTTCCCTATCCTTTACCACCTTCCCTACCCTTCACCACCTTCCCTACCCTTCACCACCTTCCCTACCCTTCACCAACTTCCAAACCCTCCGCCACCTTCCCTACCCTTCACCACCTTCCCTTCTTATCACCACCTTCCCTACCCCTTCACCACCTTCCCTTCTTATCACCACCTTCCCTACCCTTCACCACCTTCCCTACCCTTCACCACCTTCCCTTCCCTTCACCACCTTCCCTACCCTTCACCACCTTCCCTACCCTTCACCACCTTCCCTTCCCTTCACCACCTTCCCTACCCTTCACCACCTTCCCTTCCCTTCACCACCTTCCCTACCCTTCACCACCTTCCCTTCCCTTCACCACCTTCCCTACCCTTCACCACCTTCCCTACCCTTCACCACCTTCCCTACCCTTCACCACCTTCCCTACCCTTCACCACCTTCCCTTCCCTTCACCACCTTCCCTACCCTTCACCACCTTCCCTTCCCTTCACCACCTTCCCTACCCTTCACCACCTTCCCTACCCTTCACCACCTTCCCTTCCCTTCACCACCTTCCCTACCCTTCACCACCTTCCCTTCCCTTCACCACCTTCCCTACCCTTCACCACCTTCCCTACCCTTCACCACCTTCCCTACCCTTCACCACCTTCCCTACCCTTCACCACCTTCCCTACCCTTCACCACCTTCCCTACCCTTCACCACCTTCCCTCCCCGTCACAACCTTCAATATCTTTCACCACCTTTCCTATGCTTCTGCACCTTTTCTCTTGTTAATCACATTTTCTTCTTTCCAGAAATATTTGGGAGGATGGACGCGTTTATTTAGCAAGAGTGAAAATTAGTGTTTGACATTTCAGGGGTTAGAGGGGGTCATGGAGCACAAAGTGGAAGAGGTCATAGGGTACAAGGTGGGAGGTGTCATGGGGCACGAGCACAAGGTAGGAGGGTCATGGGGCAGAAGGTGGGAGGGGTCATGAAGCACAAGGTGGGAGGGGTTATGGGGCACAAGGTGGGAGAGGTCATGAGGCTTAAGGTGGGAGGGGTCATGGGGCTTAAGGTGGGAGGGGTCATGGGGCACAAGGTGGGAGGGGTCATGGCGCACAAGGTGGGAGGGGTCATGAAGCACAGGGTGGGAGGGGTTATGGGGCACAAGGTGGTAGGGGTCATGGGGCACAAGGTGGGAGGGGTCATGGGGCACAAGGTGGTAGGGGTCATGGGGCACAAGGTGGTAGGGGTCATGGGGCACAAGGTGGGAGGGGTCATGAAGCACAGGGTGGGAGAGGTTATGGGGCACAAGTTGGGAGGGTCATGGAACGCGACCCCCGACCCGCTCATCACCATCTATGGACAAAGACAAGTCATACGTCAATATTTAATGAGGGCAATGAGCTCCAATCTTCAGGCCCGTACCTCAGAAAGACGAATAGATAAAATACAGATAGTTATCTTTTAAATATATAGATTATAAAGCCTCATGGACGTCTGCATATAATTTATAGACTAGCTGTACCCGCCACGCGTTGCTGTGGCTAAGTCTGGTTAAATGGAAACGAAAGAAAAGAGAAAGCACACGTTTCAAATATGTTTAATCTCACAATGATTGTTAGTATACAATGTGTGTTTTGTTCCATTGTCTGTGGAGATATAAAGATTGTCTGGTTTGCCGACTCTAAAACACGCAACATATAATTGTCCCTATGAGAAGCATTCCATGTCTAGATATAAACTGCACAATTCTAAAGATTTGCCCTGAGCTATGTTCATGGTGATTGCAAATGGTAATCGAATTGGAAATTACAATATCTTAAATTGAAATGGCATATCTGTTAGAATCATAGAAATGCGAGGAATGAGGACATCTTCACCTTTGAAAGGTCCTGTCAAGATTGTGGCTTCTACGACGTTGCTGATTATTTTTTTTACTCCAAGGCGTGTGGCGTTGCAAAGCTTTGGCTGATTGATATTTTGCAACATGATAATTGGCACGCAGATTTTCAATTGCCATACGGGTGATGGTATCCTTGGCAGATCGAGTGAATTCAAAAACTCTGTTGGATAACATCTGCTCTCTCAACAGTGTCGAGGGATTTGTATCGAGGAATTACAGGTAATGTTTGCCTGAAATCTCCTGCAAGCAATTTTAATGCGTTCCCAAATGGTCTGATGTTTCCACGCAAATCTTGCAGTGATCGATGAAGAGCCTCGGGCGATTTCTTGTGGGCCATTGTGCATTCTTCCCAAATGATAAGTTTACATTTCTGCAATACTTTTCCCATGCTTGATGCTTTGGAAATGTTACACGTAGGAGTTTCAATGAATTGCATGTTCAATGGCAATTTCAAAGCCGAAGTAGCAGTTCTTCCACCTGTTAAAAATGTCGCAGCTATTCCGGACGATGCAAGAGCTAAGGTTATGCCATTTTGGGATAGAAATGCTGCCAGAATCAATCTAATTAGGAAGGATTTACTGTTCCTCCTGGCGCATCTAAGAAGATTTCTCCAAACCCGTTATTGACAGTTTGAATTTTTTTATTGAAAATGCCTTTTTGCTCACGTGTTAGCTTAGGAATTGCTTTGATTGCACATACGACAACAGATCACTCATGTTGTAATTTTGTTCACAAAGCATTTCTACATCGAAGGAAGCAGCAGCAGATCGATTCGGTGATGGCATTTCCAATTGATTTAGAACTTTGTTTGCGAATTCTAAGCACAAATCTTTAATCATTATCAACGCTTCATTGTAGGTTTCTGCTGTGAAATCCATGTTTATATTTGAATTTTCCTTCATATTCGACAGATAAAATCTTCAGCCATTTGCGATTTATATCTCTCATAACTCTGTTGGAGATGAAGGAGAGCAGGCGGTCAATATGATTGCAAACAATACATAAATTTGATTTGGATGTGACATGTTGGAAGCGTCATTAATGCATACATCCCAGTGTCAGTCGTTCTCCAATAAATTCCGAGCTTGACATGCACTATGGAAAGTGGCATGTGTTACGCTGTTGACAAATCTCAGTGGCTGGAAAGACATTGGACCGGGCACATTTGCCAACGGCATGAGAAGAAAGAAGCATTCATCTTGACTGGGATGCACCGTGTGCAGTCTGCATATCATAGTTTATTTGAATAAGCCAGGTTGTCTGCCAACTCGGTCTCCTCATTTGAGTTGTTCAAATGATTTTCTACTGGCATCCCATGTGTAATACGAATGCACTTCCGAATACAGCAGTGTTCTCGCAAATGCGTCATTTTCACATAACGTGAAAAAAGCATTTAACGTTGTAGCCGGTGGGTTCATAGCTGTTTGTTGTACATTTGCAGCTGTGAAGTAAACGTGTTGTCCATTTTCTTGTTTTCAAAACAAAAACAAAAAATACAAACGAAATATTTCAATTCAATTGCAGATCAATCGACACCACTCAATTTCACCACCAATTGCACTGAAAAATAAGAACAGTAAAAAAAACGAAATGAAAAAAATGAAAAAAGAATCAAATAAGCTATACCCTCGAAAAGAATGGTATGATAAACAACTCAGCTCAAACTCCAATGCAACGTCACACATAATAATTAAATCAAAATGAAAATAAATCAAAATCTATGAAAATTCAATTTATAAATGCAATCGGAAACATTGAAATGGAATCATAACATATTTTGTATATTGTGTGTTGCTCGATGGCGCTGTTTAAAAAAAAAACGCATGGTTTTACCTGACACAGGTGTGGCATCTAAAAAGTAGGTATATAAAAACATGCACGTATTCGAATGGAACATTGTGTCAAAATTTCAAAGCAATCGGTGAAGAATTTTTGGAGATTACGGTGTGTGTTGCTCATACGTCTTACAGATGGTGCTTTAAAAAAAAAAAACATGTTTTTTCCTGTCACAGGTGAGGCATATAGGTATGTAAAAACACTCGCCTATTCGAATGCAATGTTGTGTCAAAATTTCAAAGCAATCAGTAAAGAGGCTTCGAAGATTTCCCCTTACATGCAAACACCCAAAAAACACAGCTTTTAAAAAAAAACAATTTTTTTCCCATCATAGATGTGTATAAAAAAACCTGCTCGGATGCAAAGGGAACGTTGTATGAAAATTTCAAGGCAATCAGTGAAGAACTTTCGAAGATTAGCAATTAACATTTCCATTTTTATTTATATAGATATGTACCTTCAAATGGACGTATGAGAGCGAGGTATTTAGGCAGCAGCGATGGCTTGAGGGAGGTTATTGATAAGGATTCGGTAGGATAAGCAATACAAAAATCAACAACTTTGAGGCGCTTTGCCGTCGGTGCTGTAATGGTGGTAAAGTCCATTTGCTCCCGCTGGAGGAGACCAATGCTCCCGGTGAAGGTACCGTTCGTCTCCACTCCCCAAGTGCGGTTCACATCCTCATGGACATCGAAACTGCCGGTGAAAATGGCAAAGTTAAGGCATCACCATATGAGGAAAACAACATCAGCGCTCTGTTTTAATTAAAGATTGCGGTTTTTCAAGTGAATTTGGCTTTATATGAAAATAATAGAGTGTGTGTGTGTGTGTGTGTTATCACTTAACTCGGCAAACAATGCCTTTCCAGCTTCATGGTTAGTTAATGCAATACTATATATTCCTCACAAGTCTCATCGTATCGTAGCAGGAAATTAAATAACAAATTCGAAGAAACATTTGCTTGCAACATGAATGCCAAAGATGTTATTCCTGCCATTTATTTGACTCATCCGTGTCTTTAACGTCCACACGTGGCATCTCATAGTACCGTATACCAATCTGACCATGACATTTGTTCACACTGCACACGATAAGTCACAATAACGTTGCTGAAGATATGAAGACCAAACCACACATCAGAAGATGGAGAAATGACAACGTTTCGGTCCGTCCTGGACCATTATCATGTCGTATTTAAGGATTTGATACAATTTGAAAATGGTCCAGGACAGACTGATTTGTTGTCGTTTCTCCATCTTCTGATGTGTGTTTTGTTCACACTGTTCATTCCCTATAATATCTTGTTTGTTTTAACATCTCTGGTTCCTTACTCCTGCATTTTTTTTTTTTGTTGTTGTTGTTGCCGTCCTCCCCTTGCCACTTCGGGGTGTGTGGAGTTTTTATTTAAATTCAGGGCACCCGTTCCCCCCAACCACAGGGCATGCTGAGAGGTGGAGGCACCTTAAGCATACATATTTCCCTACCGACACAAGCTAAAATATATTAATGGTTAGCTGACACATCTCACTCTTAGGAGTTAATTTATTAATAATAATGGTTAGTGCAAATGGAAAAATCTTTTGTATTTGTTTTTCTTATATACAACATCTGTGGGAAATTTTTACCCACCATATCTAATAATCATCTAAGAAATGTATAATTTCTATATCATTTCTATATCATATCAAAATCATATCTAAATCGTATCAAAATCATATTAGAATCATTAAAGATTCATTATATAGCTTGATCCTAGATGACAATGTCACTATGATCACATACGCTACAGGGCCCTATTGATGCCTACGTGACTTTGTGTATGATCTCTCAAGGATCCAGAAGCTTCTTGAAGGATTTGTTAATTAAAAAACTATTGGAACATTTATTCAATATCCTGTAGGGATAAAATCGAATCCTTAATAAGAATCAAAGGTACTATCAAGTACTACTAATAATCTTTATATCTTATATCTAATTATATTATAATCACATCTTATCTCAATCATAAGTCTAGACTGTAAAAATAATCAATCAATATTCATAGAAGGCTACCGTGCTCAGGGAGCATGGCAGGGCGATGGGGGGGACTGAAGCACCCACCAAGACAGCCCAGGGCACTTCGTGTTTGTTTACAACTGAGTGAACAAGTGACGGATCCTTAGCGAACATTACCAGCTCAAGGACACCTTATCTAATATCTTTTTCACCAGTGAACACTCTCTAGAACTGGGGGAGTACCTGGACAATATCTACAAGGAAAATCCTAGAACATTTATATAAAATAAGAGTGTATAGAGGAGATCACAGTGAGACGGTTTCTTCCACCTTCATTCCTAATCTTTATCAACTATCATTCTTCTGCAACTGCAGGGACAATCACGTAGCAACGCTACCAGATCATCATACAGCAACGCTGTGACAAAATATCGTGCCCAAACTCAACAAGAGAGAGTTAATCAGTCTGGCATCTTGTCAGACCGGCAGAGAAATATATTGAAGGTTATTTGGTATATGATTGGCCAATTGTATGCTTGTGTGACTTTAATATCCTATAAATCTGTCTGTTGGTTAAAAAGCGTGGCAACGCCTCATTTTTCAGTACGTTTATTAAAATTGTAGTGTAGCTGTGAATCTTATCCAGCACTAGACTCATGAGTGTCCATTGTGTCAGAAAAGAATTCAGCCGCAATAAGTAAAGAACCTCATAAGTGTCCATGGTGTTGGAAGAGATTCAGTCAAGCTAACTGAACCTAATCATAAATTGAATATAAATACATTGCATATATACTTGAATATATAAATTAAGTTATCAATTGCTTGCTTAGTTATTTTTAAGTTATCATATAAGTTCATTTAATTGAATGATTTCTAGTACTTAGTTAACAGTATTTAGACTACATTTAAGGTCATTTATTATACTTTTACAATTTAATTTGTTGTTTATAGTATAAGTATATATTGGCTGTTAATAGTTAAGGTGCTAGGTTAGACTATGTATGTTTAAATCCCTGATTTAAACAGAGCCAGTGTTCAGTCATATAACTGAATTTATTAAATCTTATCCTTGTATAAAATACAAGCTGATGTGAGATCCCTGTCTACAGGTGGACTGGAACTTCTATCAACAAAGTCATTCACCCCACCTGTCCCTTACAGCCCACAATCTGTCATTAGGAAAAGAGGAGCTAGGATTTACAACCCTAGCTAGAGATTTTAATTGAATTAATTTGCAGACAGTAAATTTTTAATTTAGTTCAGTACTAGTCCCTGGTAGTCTCCCCTTATATCAATCCCAGCAGGTTTTTCCCACATTAATGATCCTTCGAACCTAGATATTAATGGTCCTTCGTACCTAGATATTTATGAACATTCGTTTACCAAATATCATTCCAGCAAATACATAAGAAACTTCTTGAGTTTGCATTGGCACAATTTTTACATATTCTAGCCTAACCTAGCTATCAGCCAATATTTATCATAGCTATATATCTAAGTAAACAAACAGTTTGCAGTGGCTTAAGCCACCATATCCATTAACTAGTAAGCATTCATAGCATACTGATACTGTTCAGTGTTAAGAAACCACAGTACTTAAGTATATCAGTGTCAAAGACACAACTGCATCTTAATCATAAATACCAATTATCTACCTCACTGTGGTAACATTACATATATATTTAAGTGTATTATCTAGCATTATCTCTAATCAACTGATTTTCAGAGCTGCTCATTACATAATATTCTTTAAAAGTGTTTTTATCACAGTAAGAGCATTTCATTACAATCTGACCATAATCAACTGTATCAAACCCTATTACAGGTAAAACCAGTAGGCATTCTACTGTATTTTATCAAACAATTATTAGGGTAACAGATCTTGCAATAACTTTGCAAAAATAGTGCCATTTACTATTTTTAAAAAATTATTACAGGATTTACCAACTTGGTGCATTCGGGTCACAAATCAAATTATTACAGTACTTTTGATAATTGAACACCTGCTACAACCAGATTCCAGGGAGGAAATGAAGGACCATCTTTGGAATCATTACCTAAGTAGACAGGAAAGGTCATTTATCAAAATACATTAACAGCAAACATATTCATCAGAAAAAAAGAGAAAAATCTCGGAATCTCCGAAACTCGGAAAAGGTCAAAATGGCTAACAGTATTCCACCAGCAGCTGAAACAGGAAAGAAAAGGACACAAAGTGTCTAAAAAATCACTTGAATCTACAGCCTACAGGCCATTTAAATCAGGTGATAGACAAATGTCATCATCACTTGGCTACAATAGTCTACAATTGGGGATTAAGACCAATCTTAATCTCACATCACAATCTGAAAGGCTAACAGCCCATTGACAATGTCAATACAAATATTATCAACCATCTAAGATAACTATCTTAATTAATCCAAGAATATAGTCTTGATCACCCAATGTGAGCTCATCCACCCAACAGAGCAATCTCATGCTTTCACTGGAGTGAAAGCAGCCTCAGAAAATCTGAAGTTAATCAAGCATCTCAAAGAGACTTACTTAATAGAAAAGGCAAAGCCGAGAAAAAAAAAACTAAAAAGCAAAATGCTTCATCACATCATGAATAATGTAGATACACATTATTGCAGATACAATTCATCCTTTAAGGAAATCTTTGGAGGAGTACAAGTGTTACATGCTTGTATGACCTACTTGCATGTAATTACTTACCTACAAGTGTTACATACTTGTAACAATATCTTATCACAAAGCCAAATCTTTGATGGACTTCGAGCTTACGTACAAAGATTACGAAGCCGAGGAAAACTTAGATCTCAAGAAAAAATCCCCAAAGGTGAATCCACGGACAAAAACAAAAATGTCCAAACTGGCAGTCAAAAATCGAGGCAACAAAACTCCTCTTCTGCAAAGTGGAAACAGAATAATGTTGGCTCTTATGCTATATCCCCCACAGTTAACAGAGCTGTAGGAAATCAAGCTCCTAAGACAGATAAGACAAAAGGAGTTACAAATGCCCCAAAATGTTTATTCTGTCAAGAAGCACATAACATTTAACAATGCACAGTTTATACAGGCCGTGCCAGTCGAATCGATTGACTGAAATCTCTCAACAGGTGCATCCGTTGTCTACAGAAGCACGATAGAAGTGAGTGTAACACTCAATTGCAGAACTGCCAATATTGTCATAAAAGTGTACATCACACGGCACTCTGTGGTGATATTAACACTCATTCCAGATCACAGACTTCCAATAATCAACCTGCATCTCAGGCAAAGCCCAAAGATGATAATACCACCACAGCCATACAATTCTGTACAGTAATGAGCAATGTTAACGACTTGGATACAGAAATCGTTACAACAGCCATATTGCCTACTGCACAGCTAGAACTATGCAATCAAGGAATTTGTATTCCAACTAGAGGCTTTTTTGATCAAGGGTCACAGAAAACCTTTATCAGTAAAAAGATGGCAGAAGATTTACAACTTAAATCTTCAAAGCAAGTATCTACCTCCATATCAGGGTTTTTTACTAATTCTGGTCGTAGAACCTTTCCAGTAGTAAAACTCAATGTCTGTCTAGGTACATCCCAAAGGACAGTAGAAGCCATAGTAGTTGATAAAATTCCTACTGAAATGGAAGTGACTGGTCTGACAGCCACAATTAAATTCCTAGAAGAAAAAGGAATACAATT